AGATTTTAACAAATGTGCCACTCTGGTGTAGAATGTTGATAACGGGAAAGGTTGTGTATGTGTGGGACAAAGGAGGAATATAGGAACTCTCTGTACTTTCTGCTTAATTTTGCTGTGAACTACGATAGCTCTAAAAAAGTTTATTAATAAACAAAAAAATGCAGTGATTTCCTGTATTACATTGAAACTAACATCATAACTTGCTTTTTTCTCCTCTTATAGGGATAGAAAGAGTAGTTATATGTCTATATTCCTCACTTCTAGAACATCTGACTTCTAACTTTTACTTTATTTTCTATCATTTTCCTCATTTTCTGTGTTCTACCATCTGTTAATGACATATGTCAAATAACAAAAAAAAAAAAAAAAAGAGAATGTTGCTTTGAGAGTAGCAATCAAAAGCATTGTTTGAAAAGTAACCAAGATTATTTAAATCGACATCCTGGAGACCAACTAGTTAAAACACTTTAAGAAACCATGACTGTATCAGCCTTGCTAGTCTCTTATTACTCATCAATTCCAAATTCCATCAATCTCCTACTCTAATATGAGAGTTTTCCAGAATGATCTGTCAGAAACATGTTCTGCTTCATGGTATTTTCTGCACACCCGTCACCGTCGCTTTCCATCAGGATTGTTCAGAAGGCATGGTCACATCCCCTGCAAAGGATGTTTTTTTCCATCCTTCTCTCTTTATTAGAAACTGCCCAGAAGTGCCCCAATAGACTTTCACTGAATACTCACTGGCCTAGATTATTCTTCAAACAAAGTTGGCAAGCAATTGGCAAGAAAAATTACCCTGTTTGACTATGATCAATTACAATTCATACCCAAAGACTGAGAACGGGGTTGGTTATGTTTACTTATCACACAGAAGAAAAGCCCAAGTATTATAAAATATCACCTAAAAGAAAGGGTAGAAGAAAACAAAAATGAAAAAGAAGAGGGAGGAGGAGAACAGGAGGAGAAGAAGAAAAGAAATGGAGTGAAAATATCTTTGGGATAAATAACTAATAGCATCTATCTACAATTTTATAAAGACAATTTCAGTAGAGGGTAAGATTCAGAGTTCTATTAAAGCAAACAGAGAGAAATGAAGTTAGGAAATAGAGACAGTACACACAAATTATATTTTAAGGGATATTAATGTAAATGGGAAAAGATATATCCAATAGTTTCCAGAGAAGAATAAAGGGTCACAGAAGTTTGGGTTCATTCTAGTTTTGTTTTTAAGATAGGTGATATTGGGGTATATTTCTATGCCAATATGAATAATCCTGAAGAGGGAAATAAAATGATGTAGGAAATGTAACTGTTATAGGATGTAACTCCTGGTGAAAATGAGATGGAAAGGATTTAAGTTACTGATAAAGGGTTTTCTCTTTGTAACAGAAATATGTGCAACCTTTTAAGAGAAGGGTTAAGTCAGTAGCTGAGTACAAATGCTGAAATGCTGATTGAATTGTTAGCAGAAAACAATGATAGTTCTTATGCAACTATATTTCTTTTCTTTCTAAAGTAAGCTTCAGTGTTATGAAAACAGAGTAGGCAGATAAGAGATGTTTGAAATTTGGGGAGACGGGAGAATGTGTAAGTGTCAGAAAGGGGGTGCATTTTCTTGAGAAATATTATGGGGCAGCCTAGTAAAGTTGAGATTTTTAGCAGTATTTTTACGGTTATAGCATTGGCACAGAAGAAGTGGATAACCTGGTTGGCTGAGTTTGGGGTTTTGCCAGATAAGTAGCATAATGGAGGGAAGATGAAGAAAAGGAGTTAAGGGTGTTACAGCACTAGCCCATGAAAAAATTTAGGATGCATAGGGAAAGAGAAGAACTGATTAGAGGTGACAGATGGTGAAAAGGTGTCAGGTCAATGCTTTTAAACTTTGAATGAGGTCAAAGAATGTTTCTTTGGGAATATAAAAGGAAGTCCCTAAAAAGTCGAAGGTGTGCAGAAGATGGTCAGAGAAGAGGGTTGGAATTAAAATTTTGAAGGTGCTACAACTATTGATGATGACAAGATGGCGGAACTAGAATGCAGAAAAAGATAGTTGGAGCTAAAAATAGTTTGGACACCAGGAAGTGGGATGGACTACTCACTTTTTGGATTCATCACTTATTTGCTGCTAACCTTGGATAACGTAGTGCACATCTATAGTTTTTGGTTTCTTCATCTTTAAGGAAAGGATAATAATATAAGCCAATTCATAGGGTTGTTGTGAAATCTAAAAATGTTCATTATGTAAAATGCTTTCAACAGTGTCTAGCATATAGTAAGTGTTACCAGTTAGTACTATTTGCATTTGTATCGTGTATGTATTACTTTATTTCTAAATTGTGAAGTTTCTTAATATGTTAAGTATTCACTCTATAACAGGAACTGTTCTAAGCATTTACCTTTTCAAAAAAATCTCATTGAATTCTCACAATGTCCTTACAAGGTAGGTACTATTGTTATACCCATTTCATAATTTAAGAGACAGAGCACAGCTAGTAAGTGACAGAGACATGTTTTAATCAAATCAGTCTGCTTCTAGATTCTCTGTCCTTAAGCACCATCCTATGCAGTGATTGACGGTGGCATAGGTGAATCCAGGTGATGAGAACACAGTGAATGAGGAGAAGACATTTGGAGGGAGAGATATGAAAACAACAAGGAAGGATAATGGATAATGAAGTCTATGACATGCACATCAAATACTCTGGGGTTTTGCGGGAGGAAGGAAGAGAGACAGCCTGGAAGTGACAGTGGGGAACAAATCTTACAACACACAGAAGCATTTCAAGTATTTCCGACCAAAGGACAACATGAAAAAATAGCTTCAAATTTGGTCATCTAGTGAACTTGGCAGTTCCTTAAGATTCTGTCCTTGTCCCTGTATTTTTATCCCAGGGAGAGAAAGTGCTTGTGAAGTTCTTGTCCTCTACCCAGTCTTGCTAAGAATCACGCTCAGTTTAGGGGCAAAGCTATCAGGATAACCAAAGGTTACCAAGATGATGTTTTTTAGTGGCTCTCAGACCAGTTCCCACATGAAAGCATTGTTTTAAAAACAAAGCAATTTCTCAAATGTGGGGACTTTTCTGGCATGTGACATATTTCGAATAGTATAATTATATACAACGTTCCGAATTCCATTTATTTACATGACAGGTTCAAAAATCAATCAATCAACCAATCAAATGCTTTTCATAACCAAGTAGCGATTGATGAGGGATTAGCAAAGGGCAGGCAATGGACTAAATTCAGTCTGTCACTTGCATTTATATGGCCTGAGGTTTAAGAATTACTTTCTGGACTCTTACAGAAAAATTTTGCTGATTTTTGGTCATAAATAATGAGTAGAAAAAGTTTATATTAGTGTAGGTATTATCATGTGGATATTGTGAATGTGATATGTGGGTGTCTGCGTATAAATGTGGCCACTTGATCATATATTCATTCCACTCACAGACATTTATTGAGCACATACTCTATGCCAGAAACGGTCCTGGGTGCTAAGAATACAAGATTAAAAATAGATAGTCACTGCTCTCAAGAAAACCAGTCTTATTATTTTATTGTGGTGGTAATTTTGATAAAATTAAAGAAGAACAAAGAATTTCTACAAAATTTTCTTTTACATGAATATGAGCTTTTCTTTCTCCAACTCAATTGTCAGGTATTAATTGGTTGCCGAATTTTATTATTTTATAAGACATTTGATGAATTCATTGGTTTTCAGTCTCAGCTAGAAAATTGGAGTGAGCAAACAGACATCCCTCCTGACTTTTAACTCCATTGGAGTAAGTGTCTTGTGACCTCTCTCTCCTTTGCTTACCCCCTATTATGTCATTTGATATTTTTGGGGGGGTCCTGGCATGCTACTTGGAGAAAGTCATCCAAGGTCTGTGTCTCTGCCAAGCTGAACTGAGCATTGTCACTTATCATAGCAATTGTGTTGCTCATCAGCAGAATTGAGGCCCAAAGCCATTTCCATACTTTTCAGTAGCTAACGCTATCTTTTTCTTTCTAAATTGTCTCTGACATCAATTGCCCTGCAGGATTTCAGCGTGGGTTTAGGGGATTGAACAGCCAATGAATTCAGGCTGTTCTTATAGCATGCAATCATAACTTGTATTTAGCTTTCATAACAGAATATTATCCAAAACCATCTCAAAGATGCCAAAACCAATCTGAAACCACTTCCTAGGTCCACTGCATAACAAGTGGATATGTTCTTCCCACCACATGATGAAGGGCACTAGGCAGCTAGATATCTGATCATATGAATGGTCGAAGTATTTGTCTGGCTGTTATATTTAAGCAACAAAACTTTCAAGATTTCTGGTTCCACATTGTTTATTGAACATTTTTCTATTCACATTCATTGCTATTCCTTCTATAACGCCTGGGAAGAGTCTACTGCTATCTCTTTTCCCTCACATCTTAGAGTGAGCCTAATTCAGGAGCCCTCACTTTTAAATGTACTTCCTAAAATACAATGTTATTCATTGGGAATGTTCCCCTGCAATTTAAAACTACCTTTAGTAAGACTTTACCATTTTTCCAAGTGTTTGCTGCTTCCAGTATCTAGCATATACATGTAAATGCAGACATAGCCAGAAGTGGAATATTCCGATTTCAGAAATTAAGGGGTCCCATTTTTCTGATGAATCTGGACTTTGATCCTCAGATACCTTTGATCAACTTAACTAATGATTTTCCCTACCTAAGCACATAAGAAAAGCATACAAAGGATAGAACACAAAAATTCCATGAATTTCCTAAAGCCAGAGCTCTCAGCCCTTATAGTATTGCCATTTACTTCCAGTTTCTGTTTGGTACAGTCAGGCTCTGAGGCCTCTAACTGGATCCAATCTAGTTAATTATCAGATCCAGTACAATCATGGACCCAGTTCAGTTTCTGTCATGACTTCTGAACCCAGTTTGGATCCAAAATTCGCTCAGACTTGGAAAGCTCAAAACACAAATTCATGCAGCTTTGGAATCAAAGAACTCACCCATGATCCTCCGGGGCTACCAAGGACAATGGACACAGTGGGCCCAGCAGGTATCTCACTTGGTGCTCCTGGGGGCCACTGGGAGCCTACAGCAGATCCCACTCTGACATCTTCTGCAAGAAGAAAAGCATTAGACAAATTAACTTGAACTGAGTTTAATTGAGCAAAGAACAATTCAAGAATCAGGCAGCTCTCAGAATCAGAGACTCAGGAGCTGCCACAACAGAAATTTCAGGGAAGGTCAAGGACTTGGGGAGTTGCCTCAGGTGTTGGTGATGGATATCTTTTAGTTTACTTCCTGAATGAAGACAATTTTCTCAGAATTTATTTAAGAAAGTTTTGGTGCCATTGGAAGTAAATCTCCTACTCAATTTGCCTGATCCTAAAACCAGGTCTTTCCAATTGTGTAAGAAAATAAATTAGTTTAGGCATTTCAAAAGATCCCCTGAAGGAAATATAGATATATATAACTCGTGAGAGTAGGATATTTGGGAATTCAAGGCTTTTACGTACTACCCACAGATCAAAGAAATAGGAGAGAAAGAAAAATGAGTATTTAAGGGTTGCTTTGACAGAAATAAAAGAATCAAGGGACACAAAGATTTTCTAACTTATGGGAGGCTTTTTTATTTCCCAAGTGTCCTCTTGCCCTAGCTTTGTCAACACTATTTAGCTTATCTGCCTGGGAAATAGCAGGGGTATGGTAATTCTAACTTGGTTCAGCAACCACCTGTTACCCTAAATGTCTGCTGTGGTAGCAGTGGTGATTCTCGCTGAATCCTCCATCCATGAAAAAGAAGTGCCCATTCCTTTCCTTTTATTTTACAAATAAAGCTGGGAGGTTGTGCTGTAGCCAGAGCACAGTGAATAGAGAGGATAGTTTGGCAATGCTGGAATAGGAAAGAATAAAATAACAAATTCAAGGCTGGAGGGGAAAGAAATTGGAGGAAAAAATTGAGAGAAAAAGTAAGTGTGCAGGGAGAGTGAGGGTCACATCTAAACATAATGGCCAGAGACCCAGATGATGCAGATTGTTCCAGGCAGCTCCACGCTCTGCTCCACCCCAGCACCCAACTAATGAAAGAACATTTCTTCAATTGATTTTTCATGGTCTCTAAAATTGCCAGCATTATAAAAATTCTTTAATGGTATAAAAAAGAGGTATTTTAACTTAATGAAATCAATTTGATGCCATTTTGATAAGAAAGTAATATATGAAGTGATTAATAAATTTGAGAGTTTGAGTTAAGCCCTATCTATACCCACTACTATCAAAATAAGAGCCTTCAATCAATTCCATTTAGTGCATACCATGTCTCTGGGAAGACACCACCATGCCCTCACCTTTGTCACAATCCTTAGAGCCATTCTAGACTCCTCTATCTCTTTGACCATCTCCCCAAACTTTGGCATAAGAAATCATGGAATATTATGCAGCCATCAAAAACGATGAGTTTGTGTCCTTTGTAGGGACATGGATGAACCTGGAAACCATCATTCTCAGCAAACTGACAGAAGAGCAGAAGATCAAACACCGCATGTTCTCACTCATAGGCGGGTGTTGAACAGTGAGAACACATGGACACAGGGAGGGGAGCACTACACACTGGGGTCTGTTGGGGGGAAATAGGGGAGGGAAGTTGGGGGGTGGGGAGTTGGTGAGAGATAGCAAGGGGAGAGATGCCAGATGTAGGTGATGGGGAGGAAGGCAGCAAATCACACTGCCATGTGTGTACCTATGCAACAATCTTGCATGTTCTTCACATGTACCAAAACCTAAAATGCAATAAAATAAATTAAAAATAAAATGAAATAAAATAAAAAAAGGAAAAAGAAATTGCCACCACAGGCAATGTCTGTTTTCTAAATATCTCTCCAATCTGTCCTCTCCTCTCTATCCATACTACCATGACCTCAATCTAGGTGACCCAATTCCGCATCTGGATTTCTGATATGAATTAAGTGGTCTTGTCTCCTGACTATGTTTTAAAGAGAGGATTTGCTAAACTGCAAATCTGATCTCATCATCTTCTTGCATATCTTTCTTTGGGGTCTCCAGCAGTCCTTGGAATAAAGGTTAGACATATCCCCATCTGTACAGGATGCTTCCTTAATGGCCTTTCCAGAACAATCCTCTTATTTCTTTAGGGGCTATCCATGCTCTGCCATAGTGACATTTCTGCTAATGTTTTATGCTGTCTCATGCCCTTGGAGCTTTGTTGTGATGCTGGATATTCTTGCCCATCTGTCTCATGAAACTGTGTGTTCCACAAGTGTAGAGATCGTGTCTTATTTGTTGTTGTAGCCATGGCACCTGGCATGGTGTTTGGCACATGGTAGAATGAGGCAAAAGACTGGTAACTTTTAAAATAAATCGACAATTTTAAAAGGAAGGAGTGTTTGTGAGCTGGATTCAGGTACTACAGTCATGACTGTGAAGCTATCCCTGACAGTCCTAAGAAAACACAGTAGTCCTAAATGTTTGGGCCAATGGGAGAAGGCCAATGTGGCTGATGGCCACCAGAAAAAAAAGGAGAAAAATAAATGCTTAAAAGCAAACTGTCTACTGCATAATTTTAGAGAGGGCTGGTCCTGATGTAAGGGGTAGCTCGAAAGGAAATTACTGCCCAACACAGGAGGAAAGAATACCAATTATTTTCCTCTTAAGTAGGGCCAGACCAACTCAACAGAAAACCAGAGAGGATGGACTATGCATTCCTGGAAGGAAGCTACTGGTGCTGGTGCCATCAGCCTGGTTGACGAAAGAGACATGATCCAGGAGCCACCCAGCTGAAGGCTGGTACACCACAGACAGACATGCTTCCTGGAAAAGACCTCTGGCAATTAGGAATTCAAGCTTAGCCTCAATTTCTCAGATGAAGCCTTCTAATTTTCCTTTTCCCTCCCATGTGCTTCTTCCAGGAAACCTGCCTTCTTCTCTGTGGTAGTTGTGAAAGATCAAATGTGCCTTTTACCAAAAAGGCAGGACTTTTCTCTCCTCTCAACTCCTTTGTGTGTACCCACATGGGATGGCTCATACAGGGACACTCCTAGGACCTGACATGGGGCCACCTTCCCTTTATGCCTATGAGTGTTTGTGTGGAATGAAAGTACATGAAGTCAAGGTGGAAGACTGGACCCACTAGTCTAAGACAGTAAATGATTAAAGAATAATGTGACAATGAAATCCACCACTTTGAATAGAATTGTCTGTGATATATTTTGAGCCCAGAAAATTTTTGCATGCTTTCATGCCATTTTTTCTAGATTTTACTCATGCTAACTAACTTAAACCAAAACTTTACCAGGAGAATAGGCAAAATCAGAAAACAAACAGACAAAAAAAATGGCCTACTCAATTAACTGCAAATTAAAAAATAATCATTGAAATGGGAGAAAGAGATCTGACCACTTTGGTACCCAGTCTCTTCTCACAATGTTCCAATAAAGTTTCCAAACTTATCCAGGCATTCCCCGCCTGCTTCACGTAGACACACAGTCTGTCTTTCCAGCGGGTTTCTTCTACATGCCTACCTCCTCCATTCTACCCAGTGGTACCAGTGCTTATAACCATTACAGCACGGAATCATTCCTCTTCCGCTTCTGTCTCCCCCATAATCTACCTTCCTTCTGGAAGGTGGGGATTTGTCTCCATCATCTCATCATCATTAGGTCACTCTTCCCTTCTAAACAACACTTTCTGTGTCTTACTGCTAGACTGCCACCATGGCCAGGGATCATTCAGCACATAAAAATCAACGCATAAGTATTAGTTGATTGTCTAATTTGGCTAATTTCAGGTATTGAAAACAAAGCTCGGGACATGGCAATACATGTTGAAACTGTGTACTGTACAACTATAGAGATGATGTCTTATTTCTTGTTTCAGCCATGGCACCTGACATAGTGCTTGGCACACGACAGATGGAGGCAAAAGATGTAGCTTTTAAAGCAAATTGACAATTTTAAAAGTACAGAGTGTCTGTGGGCTGGATACAGAGATTACAGTCACGACTGGGAAGCTACCCCTAACAGTCCTAGGAAAATATGATGGCCCTGAATGAATATAAAACATGTCCAAAGTTTTGTATTCAAGTACACTGTTGCTTCTTTCTGAAACCTTCATTTTCTCACATTAAGTTAAACACTGCATGCAGATGGAAGGATTTTGTCAACCCATGAGAGGGCTACAGAAGTTGTCAACCCCGAACATACTTTTGAGCTTGGGGCAACAGTGACAATGTGGCCTAAGTCGTTCCTCACTTAGCATGCTCACAGAAAAACATTCACAAAGCTCAATCAATAGCCCCAATGAGGCTAGAAAATCAGGGTAATTCTGGAAATAGACAGACTGCAGGGTCAATACAGAACAGCCATTGACAGATGATGTGCTGTATTTTATAAATCACAGTTCCTGGCCCACAGAACAACTCGATTTCTTGGCCTAACCCACAGTATTTTTAGCCATTGCACTGATGAGTTCGATGTCTGAATAATATTCCTCTTTTGCTTGCTCAATTCTTGTGTGTTCCTTCCTTCCTGCTGTGAAATGTTGTGTCTACAGTGTCTTGCTAAATCACTACTACATTTACTTGTGTTTTTTTCTGCCAACATGCTCAAAACCTGTTTTGTCCCCATCTGAGGGAAAAATAAAACTTGACAAAAGTAAAAAGAAAATTGTGTCTCTTGTATGAATAGATATATTTCACTGTATTTTCTACCTCATTTTGAGCCCTTCCTGGTTATCAGGCATCATTAAGCAATTATTACATATTATCACATTTAACACTCAGCACATTTGCAGTTTAGATACTTGTTATCACCTTCAGATCAATTTGCGAGGAAACGGGCACAGAGAAACTTCCCCAATGTCATTTGCTATTATATTGTGAAGCCAGATTTTGAGCCTAGGTCAGTTCAAACTTTTAACTCTTTGCTATTAATTTTCTATGACTTTGAAGTCTGGATCTTCATTTCCCATTACTCCCTCCAATTCTGGCCATGTTCATCAATTTCAAAAGAATTCTTGTTTAATGAAATTTTATGTCACATAAGATCACAGAAATCATAATGATATAACTAAGACTGAAAGAATTTAAATGATTTGATGTAA